TTGGTGATGTGATGATTAGCACCGGAATCAAGCACCCATTTATCACTTTAGACACTGTCCGCATCTCCAGCTGCCGCCATCATCACTCTGCCTCTGGCAAAGTCTGATGCTCCACCACCACGGCGTCCTCCTTTGCTGGAACCCCCTCTGGRGTGGCTGCCTCTGGGTTGATTCCTCCTTGCCTTGCAGTCTCTTGCCAAATGTCCTGGTTTGTTACAGGCATAACATCTCTGTACAGCCGCTGCTGCTCGCACGCTCYCAGGAAAAGCCTCCATTTGTGTTCTCCCCCTCATTCCTGCAGCCTCCATGCTGTTCTCTCTCAAACAACCGTCTGTCTTCTTCCTCCAGGATTCTGGAACAGACTAAATCCAACGTGAGATCTTGAGCTCTCACCGCTTGTAGGGAAAACAACAAATGATCCCATTCATCATTTAGCAAAGACATCAAAATGTGACTTTGATTCTCACCGCTGATTTCAACACCTCTGGTTTGGCATTCCAAGAAGAAGCTCTCTCATCCTTTTCACATGCGCTCTTACATCTCCACCTTCCTCCAGCTTAGCACGATACAGCCTCTTCGTCCATATCATTTTAGCAAGTGTACTCTGTCTCAGGTGCACAGCGCGGAGAGCATCCCAAGCTTCCTTGGCAGTTTGCAGACCTTMCACATGAACCAGTTGATCCAGCATCAAAAAAAGAATCAGGCTCGCTTGCCCCTTCTGATTCTTCTCCTGGTCAACTTCCATGCCTAAAATAGTCTTTTGCAAGCCATCTCTCGCAAGCAAATGCTGCATAAACACAGACCATTGTTTATAATTATGGTCACTGAGTGTCTCAATCACCGTCAACGGATTAGAAGCAGATTGCGAGGGTCACCTCAGGAGACCCTCGCAATCTGAATTTAAGCCCAGCCGCTGATTCACTCCGTCACTGGCATCTGGCAGTCTCCCCTCTGGTTTCCAACTTTATGGCTTTATGGCTTCACACTTTCCGATCATCAATCTGGGTCCAGCAAGTCCCGCTCACAACTCTGCTTACTCCCGGAATCAGTCTTCCTCCAAAGACACTCACCAGCTCTCGGTAGAAACAGGCTCCAGTCACCAGTCCAAACCACACAGCTTCAATCGCAGCCTCAAACCTGGTCAGCAGCTCTGTAGGTCAGCAGGTCCAGGTTAACAGGCCTGGTCAGTGTGGACCCATAACCCTATTGTTGGAGTTAGCAGAGTGTTGCAGAAGCTCTGAATAATGGACTCTGGAGTCTCCAATAAAAGCAGGTATTCAGCTTTACTTAAYCAGCTCAAAATATACACTATACYTGGACAGTAGACAGACACAAAGGACAAACCAAAAGGAATCAAAACTAAGATAATACACT